ACAGACATTTATCACGCCTTCATATCCATAAATTTGGAGCCAAGCTTCCCAGATACTGTGCCAATACTTAGGAACGCCATGTTTCCTACTTAAACCTCTGACTTCTGGGACTGATGCTGATATGTGTGGTGCCATCATTCTCAGAATTAAAGATTGAAGGACAAGAATGCAGGACACCCAAAATAACTTATTTCTGCTAAAAGGTGTGATGTGTTTGTCTGTGTTTTACAAAGAATTGAAAGATATACTTGACCACCACAGTGGATTTTAAGTCAGATGAACAAGATTTGACTCATGTGTAGACTTTAAGCTTTAACATAAGGGGTTTAGAAAAGTATTGCATTAACTATTTAGGATTTTATTTCTTTAAAAACTTCAGTAAAATACTAACTAATGTGATTTTGTGTCTCATTTTGGCAGTATACTTCTTTACTCCAAGGTGGGTGAGCCTGCTGTAATGCAGGAGATGACCAGAGCCTGGTTACACTACCCATCCAACAGCAGGGCAACTAGCTTCAGGACGGTGGCAGAGCTGTACCTGCTGCATGTCCTTGTGCCACTGGGAGAGGCAGACGAGGCTCGGGAGCTGGTCACAGGCGAGGTTTTTAGCAGCGCCTTCACAGAAGAACACAGACAGACAGCGCTGGATATCATAGAAGAAAAAGAGCGACAAAATCAAGACCCTCCTCTAAATCCCAGGATGAGTGGAAGCTCTGACGTCACCGAACATCCTGTCTCATCCCAAGGTCTGACACTTCAGCCTCAACCCTTATGAGATGCATTACACCAAGCGGCCTAAAAAAGACTGAAACTGTTAACTGTTTGTGATTTTGCTTTTGTTCTGCAGGTACTTTAGTCCATAAACTTGAGGCTGTGATCAGGTTTTTATACCGAAAACTCCTGATGATTGGCTCCGGCTCATTCCCTTTCCGGAGAATCTTTCTGACTGCCATCCTCCTCTACATGCTCTTTTTTCGGATGGATCCAGGTTGGGTGAAACCTTAGTTCTGCTGGTACATCATCATCTTTTAGAAGTTAAAATAAAAGTGACTATAAATGCGTTTCTGTTGTGCTTTTTTTACCTGCAGCTCTCCCGTCTGCGTTCATGTGGATTTCTAAACTTCTGCAGCTGCTCAAACAGATGTGGAACGCCATGTTTGCACCGTATTATCAGGCAGTCACTCAGAGCAAAGGACTGTAGAGGACTGAATATGCTTGGTCTATCATTTTAAATGAATTCTCTAAGGACTGTTTGTAAGACAACATGGATGATATTCACGTCAGATCTATAAAACATTTAAAGTACTCATTCCAGGAAAACTTGCATTTTTTTTAAGCTGCAGACTCTTCAGCTCACATGACACAGCTTCCCATGAATTCTGCCCAGCTCCTCACTAATACATCCTTTGTTTGTCCATCTCAAAGCAACACATGAGTCATCAAGAGTCTGATGTGTTTTTTTTCCATTCCTTTTTTAAGTCTAGGAAGTGACTCACTGTTCTGGTTCAGAGTACCTAGAATGATGAATAGGGGTAAGAAAACAGTTGCAGTCAGTGTATCACTGTAGGAATATGAAATTTGTTAAATGATTATAACAATAGTTATAATAGCCGGTTTAAGTTTTGTGTACTGCAATGTGCTGAGGTCCTGTGGCTGCAAAACAAGCCGAAACCATGACCCCTCTGCCACTGTGCATGACACGAGGTGTTTGTCCTGATATGCTGTATCTGGTTTTCAACAAACGTGGTGCTCTGCATTACAGCCAAACATTGCCACTTTGGTCTCGTCTCTCCAAAGGACATTTCTAGAAGTGTTGCATTTGACATGCTAACTGAGGTCGGTAGAGTCTGGGATGTAGTTGTTTGCACGTCCAAGATCATGCACTGGGTGTGGAATTTGCTGGGACGTTTACTCCTGAGAAGACTGGCGACTGCTTTGAATGTTTTCCAGTTGTGAATAATTGTTCTCACTGCAAAATGATGGACTTCAGATTGTTTGGAAATGACCCTGTAACCTTTCTCAGATCGATGGGAAGCCGCAGTTACTTTTTTAACTCGTTCCTCCACAATTACGACATTTGACAACAACGTTAATGGGTGTGAAAGGTGGACAGAGATGACGTTTTTCCTCCTTGGCGCTGTGTTAAGACACCGGAATGCTCCATTCCAGCAAACCTCAGCTTTTATAGAAGTGGTCATGATCAATTAATCAAGTGCATTATCAACATGTTACCCTTTTAATTCAAATGGAAGCTGTCAGATTGTAATTAGTTTTTCACAGGATTGGATCTCAAGAAAATGTACTTTCAATGTCAAAGTGAAGATATTTGTTGTGCATTTAAGTGTCCCTGTGACTGTTCTTATGTATTATTTTATTGATAATTCTCATAAATGAACCTTAAATTTTTATAGGTTAATCAATTTTGAATTATAATTTTGAATTATATGTGGATGTGACAGTGTGTGTAATAGGGCAGAATCCATTCACCTTGTTTTTTTATTAATTTTTTTTAATGGATGGATGGGTAGTTAAGTAACCGATTACTTAACATGCTGTCAAGCCTTTCCAAAAGTATCATCAGTAAAAATTTAAACAGGGAAAAACAAACTTTTTTATAATCCTATATTCCTGTTGTGAAAATTTGAATTTAATTTCAAATTCAAATCAAATCAAATTCAAATTTTATTTGTCACACACACACACAACCATACACAGTATGACATGGGGGTGAAATGCTTGTAGCTGTACAATGCCCGACCATTAAATGACAGAAAAAAAGTTTTACAATATTTACAATTTACAGGTTACTACAAAATTTACAAATTAACTTAGGAATTTACAGTAAAGAATGTGCAAATAGCAGAAGAGATTATAAAGATTATAAATTATAGGATTATAGGAAATGTGTGGTGGTGCGTGTGGTGATGTGATGTGTGTGAGAGTCCAGTCCTACACCTGGTTCAGGGCCCGAATAGCCTGGGGGAAGAAGCTCCTCCTCATTCTCTCTGTTTTGGCCTTAAGGGGGAGTGGAAGCGCTTCCCAGACCTCAACAGTGAGAAGAGTCCATTGTTGGGATGGGAGAGGTCCATCATAATCTTCCTAGCTTTGGACTTGCACCGCTTGGTGTAGAGGAAGAAGAGACGCTGACGGGCTTTCTTAACCAGGGTGTTGATGTGGCAGGACCATGACAGGTCCTGAGTGATGTGGACACCCAGGTATCGGAAACTGTCCACTCTCTCCACTGGCGTGCCACTGATGATGAGGGGTTTGTAATTCCTCGCCTGCTTTGTAGTGAAGTCCATGATCAGCTCCTTAGTCTTGCTGATGTTTAGGAGGTTATTCTCCTGGCACCAGGTCTCCAGGTTCCTAATCTCCTCCAGGTAGGCCGTCTCGATGTTGTCGGAGATCAGGCCCACAACAGCAGTGTCGTCAGCAAACTTGACAATGGAGGTGGTGTCTGATGTGGCTACACAGTCATAAGTGTACAGTGAGTACAGCAGGGGGCTTAAAACACAGCCCTGAGGCGCTCCAGTGCTGAGTGAGATGGAGGGGGAGACTTGTTTTCCCACTCTCACTGATTGGGGTCTGTCTGTGAGGAACTTGAGGATCCACTGACACAGTGATGAGCTGAGTTCTAGATCCGTCAACTTGGTGAAAAGCTTAGAGGGAATTATTGTGTTGAATGCTGAACTGTAGTCCACGAACAGCATCCTAACATAATTCCCTCTGCCAGTGTCCAGGTGACTCAGGGATGTGTGGAGCAGGTGAGATATGGCATCGTCTGTGGAACGATTAGTCCGGTAAGCAAACTGAAGTGAGTCGATGGTGGCAGGAAGTGAAGAAGTGAAGTGAAGAATTTATGTGAAGATCTATTAAATGTAATCTTATGCAGCACTGTTAAGCAGTTTTAAATCTAAAACTGATTTAAATGTTTAAGTTGTTTTCTGAAAGCTTACAAGTAGCGAAAAAAGTGAAAGAGTAAATAAAAGTGTTCAGGTAAACGTACATGTCCCTGAAGTTTAGAAAAAGTGGTGCTGCAGGAAATTTAGAATATATTATCTGTAATTCATAAAGTTCTGCATGCATGTAAAAAAAATTAGGGGCCTCTTTTTTTTAAAAAAAAAGTGGAAGTCACATTAGTTTAATCACATTTTTAAAGTGGGGCTGGGGTCACTCATTGCCCCCCTCTTTGGACACGCCCCTGGGTACAGGTGAGAAGTATTATTATAAAGTTGCACACAGTGGAAATACTTAAGTATTCGAGTACAGAGTACTGCCTGTGACTGTGGAGATAATCTGGACGCGTGTGTCACCAATTCTGTGTAGCTAATAAGCGCCGACGTGATCGCCGTAACATGTCGACGTCATAGTTCCAGCCGGTTTGCGCATGACAGTTTGTGAGTTTCGTTTCCAGCAAAGCGAAGAGAAAGCTGTAAAATGAAACTGCTGCTGGGAACTGTTTCTGTGGCGCTGATGTTTACAGTGAAGTACAACAAACGCTCGACCCTCTGTTGGTTTAGTGACCGTCCTGAGACCCTGAAGAAGAGCAGAAGGCTGCACTGATGTCTACTGGGATCTCCCATTTCTTTTCTAGACTTACTCTGGAGAATCACTTATTTATAGTGGATCATTCTCAACCCGATGGTGATGTTTTTATATTATTTCCTGTTTGCTTGAGAACTATAAATACTAGTTTAAAGGTCCTACTTCAGCGAAATGCACGAGATGCTTGTTAAATACGATTAAAGCTCCTCAACGATTCGTAGACGCACTCGTTATTAATTTCACAGTAAATAAAAACGGAACAATTTTGAAGTCAAGTGTTATTCACAGATAGGAAAAATTATTTTAGTCAGTTAACTTTCTAAAGCTGTAGTGCTTTTTCGGTCATGAACAATCATGAGTAATGTAGTGCACAGTGTGCCAAAAATGCGCTCACAGCCACTTTGTTAGGTACACCTTGGTGGCGCTGAAATCTTTCCTCACATGACAGCATCGCACATTTGCTCCAAATCTGTTGGCTTTGCATCCATAATGGGAATCTCTGTTCCACCACATCCCAAAGGTGCTCTACTGGATTAAGAACTGGTGACCGTGGAGGCCATTTGAGTAGGCTACAGTGAACTCATCGTCACGTTCAAGAAACCAGTTTGAGATGATTTGAGCTTTGCGACATGGTGCGTTAACCTGCCCGAGGCAGGTATCAGAAGATGGGTTCACGGTTGTCATTAAGAGATGGACATGGTCAGCAACAACACTCAGGTAGGCTGTGGATTTAAATGATGCTCAGCTGGTGCTATAGGGCCAAAGACAATACCCCCCACATTACTCCCTCTCCACCAGCAGCCTGAACTGTTGATACAGGGCAGGCAGGAAAAGCCATGCTTTCACGCAGCAGAAATCAAGACTCATCTGACTAGAAAACGTTTTTCCAGTTATGTATTGTCCAATTTTGGTGAAGCGTGTGAAGTATAGCCTCAGTTTCATTTTGGTTACCTAATTTTAGTGAATATTTGAGTTGCTGTTTCTACTCTTCTAATCGGCTTGAAGCAGTCTGGTCGTTCTCTTATGACCTCTGACATCAAACTTTACAGTGTAAACTCTAGGGATGGCCGTGTGGGAAAATCCCAGTATATCAGCAGTTTCTGAAACACTCAGACTAACAACCATGCCATGTTAAAAGTCACTAAAATCACCTTTGTTTCCCACTCTGTAACTCTGTTTCAACTTCAGCAGGTCGACTCGACCACGTCTACATGTCTAAATGCTCTGAGCTGCCGACATGTAATTGGTTGATCAGATATATGAATTAACATGCAGTTGAAAAGGTGTACCTAATAAAGTGTCTGGTGACTGTATAATCTAATCATTTACTGGCTGATCTGTTTAAACTATGCTAATAGTCATATAACTGATCATATTCATGTTCATATTTACTCATATTTATCATACTGGGTTGTTAAGGAGGTGGTAATGCTGTTTAACAAACCTTTAAAGGATTTCTGCACCTCAAAAGAACTCTTTAAGCCTCATAAATTTATGACTGATTCATAAATGCTCTTTTGTCTGTTGTTGCATTTGACCTTCAGGTCAGGCATATTTCAGTGACACAGAAACCAAAATACTGACCGTGAGTCTGTGTGAAGTGAAGTCAACTTGCTCCACATCTGCTCAACACGGGGCCTAAAACTAATAAACCGAACAAGCCTCATGCTCTGTGATCTCTAAAACCATGATTTGCTATTTTAATAGAATATATATCAAAAATGCGGGGTTCTCCACAGCTGACTGTGCTTTTCCATTTTTATTTATTTTCACACATGCACACACCCGCTGGTGCTCTGGTGGGTTGATTCACGGTGTCACAGGCTGTTATTTAACCCTTGTTACTCTTACAGGGATGAGAGGCCTCTCCAACTATTGTCTATCATGCTGTGTGAACAGCTTGCTGCAGACTTTCTCTGCTACCTGGGAAATAGCAGAACTGCTAGAAAGGTAATCACACGAATTACTACAGCTGCTTTCATCTTGACTCAGTGATGTTGTAGTGCCACTTACTGTGGAAATCCTAAGGCTGTTTACAATATTAACAAGCTTTTATGAATTTTAAAAGGTGGGATGTAGCTGGTGCGAGAGGAGATGCTCGTAATGTCGCGCTGCATCTAAAGAGAGTTCTTGAGGCCATGCGGGGTGACCTCCCTCAGCTCACTCCACATCGTGACTTCCTCCACTGTCTGGACCAAAACCACTTTCAACGTAAGAGCCATGCTTTTGCAGAGAAAATACCTCCTGCCGATGTGTCTTATTTCACACCTTCTAATGATGCTTTACAGTTAATGTGCAGCATGATGCAGATGAGGTGTTCCTCTCGATTCTCAACTTCATTCACCAGCAGATGGACAACAGAGTTCTGGTTGGACTGCGATCAAACTACTCTAATATTATTCATTTCTGCATGTGTTATCTGCAACAGTGTTTGTTTGCATTTGCCCTCTCTGAAAGGCTGGGGAAATTCAGGATCTGTACAAGATTTCAGTGGAGACACACCTGCAGTGTTTAAAGTGCAACTCCATCCAAACTGAAACCAGCTACATGCTCAGCCTGCCGCTTTATGTAAAGGAGGACGACAACTCTCTTGTGGGTCTTCTTCTTCTTTTGTTTAAGAATACTAAAACTGTTGGGAAACACACTATCTCTGTTTGTTATTTTTTCCCTTTTATTGGAGGCCGTATCTTAAAATCTCAAATTTTTACAGTTTATTGAAGCCAAAGATTTTAGCCAATCCTGATCCAATCATATGGGTGTAATAAAATACAGCATTTTCGACTGGGAAGTATTACATGGAGGGGGAGATTTTATAAATCCACACAACACAAGTGTAAAGAGGGAGAAAATGCACAAGTTTATTAGGATTACAAAAATCAGAGTCACCAGCAAATAGTCCAGCACAGAACCACTCATAAAAGATCAAATGAATGACATATGACTTGTTAGGTTACAAACCTTAGCTGTATTGCATTGTCACTGTTTATTTTACTCACTATTTATTTTGTTACGTTTGTCATATTTTCAGGAGGGCTGCATGAACTCTTTCTTTGAGCATCAGGAGCTCAAGGGCATAAACTCCTGCTTTTGTGCACACTGTGGAACTAAGAACCCATCCAGACAGGTGAGACTCGGGTTTAAATCGCCCTCCAACACATTGAAAAGGCTCTGATGAAATCAATTACAAGATATGTGAATGTGTCATTAATCTGTATTCTATCGTGTCAGCTCAAACAATCATTGTGAAATCTAATTGCTTGTTGTATAACAAATCTGTGTGTATCTATTTTTCTTCATTGCTTCAATCTAATAAAAATATCTTTGAGGAAAGAAAAACATATTTAAAGGGCTGAGTGGGATGAGTGGACGAGAGTGGGTGGGTGAAACATATTTGCCAGCATAATCATGAACTCACATTCACTCATTTGTTTTGTTCAGGGTGTCAAACTCCTCTCACTGCCTCGTATCTTGTGCATGAACCTGAAGCGATTTCGGAACAGCCGCGGTTCCACACACAAACTTGACTGCAGGGTTCCTTTCCCAGAAACCTTTGATTTCTCCCAGAGTCTCCAAGATGTGTTCTCCGAAAACTTTGCACAGGTACGTCTGAATTCTTTTTTACGTGAATATTGCATCTTTTGCTTGTGAATACTCTGATTATTTATTTGTTTTTCTTCCAGAATGAGTGCAGGTACACCTTGTACGCAGTGGTCGTGCACTCTGGTTATGCAATGTTTGGACACTATACTGCTTACGTCCGCCACAGGGAGAACAAGTGCTGGTACTATGCAGATGATAGCCACGTACAGCAGGTACATCGGATCTAAAAAATAATTACAAATAATCACAGTATACAGTTTAATGTGAAAGTATCTGCAGATATCAAAGGGAGAGAGGGATGTAACTTTTTCACCCTCTGTGCTTTTTATTGAATTGCCAATTTCTGATGAATTTTCTGTCTGATTCTCATTCAAATCCACAGACCTCCTGGGAAGAAGTGCAGAGAACATATGGAGGACGACACAGGTAAAATGCCCAGTTTCTGACTGGGGTCATGAAGTCCTCTCACACATTTTACACTCATAAACATGAAGCTGTCTACAGCAGCTGGAAATGGCTCATCAAAGCTTAATGAGGACACATTTTAACCTAGTCAGTCTGATTCTGGTCTGAATATCTGGAGCAAGGAGGTAGTAAGACTTTGAAAACATTAGATTTTTTGCCATCCTGTCACCAGCTACTTAGTACATAAATAATAGACTGTACATAAATGACCGAATGATCGAATGACACCGAAGCACCTTAAATCTGTTTTATTTTGACTCACCTGGTTGCAAAAAGACTTCAGAAACGCTTTCCTGGAGACATCAGTGCTACTTTCTACTTTACTGAATAAAACAGGCTGTTGGTTAAGTTATGATCCGCATTAGAGTCACAGTAAAGGCCTGCTTTATTTTAACAGGCTGTTGCCATATGACTGTGTGGTTTCTCAGTTTTTCAGTCAGATCCACCCTCAAAATGCCAAGATGACGATGGCGAAGGCTGAACAAACATCCCAGTAGCTTCTTTCAACTTTTTATATATGGCACAGACGTGAGAGTGATATCAAAAGTCTCATCTAACTCACGACTGTGTCAAAATGTCAGTGTGTTGTTCTTAAAGAGGAAAGTGTGGAGAGACCACAGGCTGAAGGATGTAGCCACGATGAGGTCAGACATTTCAACGCATCATTTTCAGCATTTCGCTAGTCGTGGTCTTAGTTTTTGGGAAAAATGCGTCACTGAGGTGTGGATCGGACGTGATGTCTAGTTTTAGAATTAGAAGTCTTTTATCGTATGTTTTTGTGTGTAAATAAATTACATGGCTGCACTTACAGATGCAAAGAGAAAAAACCAAAAAACAAATAGTCATTTGCACAGTAAATAAAAAAAGAAGGAACGAGTTCAGTGACCAAAAATGTAAGACACTGCTCGCTGAGTTGGCTTATATTACACAGAAGGGAAATTATTGCAGGAGTGGAAGATAAGGCGGTAGTTGCTTCAGAGTCGGCCTTTCTTTGATTTGAGGGATCTGTAGCGCCTACTAAAGGGCAAGAGGTTGTACAGCTGAGAGCCAGGAGGATGTGATGGTTTTTAAAAAAATGTTTCTGAAGGTTCCTCCTCTCTGCACAAGCAGTGTCCACACAGAAAGGTTTAATTTTTCAGCCGGTGGATTCAAACCAAGACCTGTTTCCTGTGAGGTGACAGAGCTAACCAGACAGTGCGTGCCGCAGAATTAACACTATACAAAACCCCCCCAAAAAACAACCTTTAGTTTTTAGTCTTCCACTTTTTCCAAGGATATTCATCTATTATTATCAGAGCACCTACATTTAGTTTGCAGGAAGAACCTGCAGCAGTCCATCTATTTATAACCGTCCCATTTCCTCTAGTTTATATGTCCTTCCATCCCCTGCAGTTGAAGAGCAAAAGTCACTTTTTCTGTTGATCACATTGAATTTGCTATATTTATGAAAAGACATCTTCTGAAGCTACCATTAAGCTTTCTTTGTTTGTTTGTTTACCTGCAGCCATGGCGATCTTTAATAGTTGTGCATCATCATTTTTTTCTTTTATTTCTTTTAAGAAAAAATGACAAATCTGCCCATAAACGTCCTTTCTGTCCAGTTCAAAGGACACAGTTTTGAAATTATTTAGTTCTTAGTTTGTTGTGTTACTCCAAAATGGCATTATACCTGTTAAGCTGTATCGTTTAGGCCTAGTTCACCTAGCCTCATATGTCAAACTGGCAGCTGCGTCGTTAAATACTTTACACTTTTGGGTCCTTTTGGTCCAGATGAATCGGGATATGTGCTTATCCCTCTCCCTGATATTCCCTGTTTAGTTGGGACCTCTACTGGAAGGTCACACATCATCATAGCGCCATCATTTTTCTCAAAAATAAGGCCCGAGGGCCAGAATCGGCCTGGCAAAGACTCCCACTGGACAGTTTTAGAAAATGTGAAGGAGGATGTACATTTCAGAATTTTAACTGTATTTTCACAAATTTTACAATTTTTCCTACTGAAAAAGAACTAAATGAAAAAGTATCCTCGGTGAATTAACGCAAACTTTCTGTTTCATAATTACAGGACAGTGTGAGCAATGAGCTACCAGAACTGATAGTACTGACAGATTTATTTCATGTCTTTATCACATAGAAAAATTGAGGAAATACTGTTGGAATTGCACCTCTTTTTCTTATATTGAGATATTTCAGGGATTAACTGGCTAATTAAACTTTTTTACACTGACAGTAAGGGCAGGTTCACTTCTCCGACACACTTAAGATCAATGTGGGCTGTAAAATGACACCGACAACCCTGCTCTTCTGCATCCAGAAGAGTCGCCCCTGCTGACTGTTAGAAAGAATGCAACTATGAGGTGCTTAGTGACTTCACCATTCATGTTTCCTACAGTTAAAATAGTTCAGAGAAATATGAAGGAGATCTGTTCAGAGAATTCTCTGCATTCGGGCTCTCACCTTCAAAAACTCCCTGTAAAACAACAGCCATGCCTAGAGCAAGGAGTAACCAAACATGTGACTCCCATTTTATCACACTTTAACTGGCTTCCACTTCTTTTCAGAGTTAAATCAGAGATTTTAATAATAACATTTAAAGCCCCATTTGCTTGACTCCTGCTGACATAATGGAGCTTTCATCTTTCTCCTTGCAGAAGGAGCTTTAGATTTTTAGACAAAGTCTTATTCTCTGCTCCGTGGTCTTGATTAAAGAGGTGATTGTGTTTTTCGCCACGAACACTCTCAAACTTTTGAACCCCTAAACAGAGGAAATCCGTCATGTCCGTTATGTTGTCTTGTCTTTGAACAACAAGCTGGTTTCTGGAAAACACCTGGAAGTTTTAGTTTCACTTTTCCTGTCATGTGAATTGAAAATGCCATCATGGTTTCCTTTTCTTCCTTCCTTATTTATGTTGCCGTTTGCTATATAAGAATGCTTCATTGTTTTCTTTCTTCTTCTTTTGTTGCAGTAGAACGGCGTACATGTTAATGTACAGAAGAGATTCAGAAGAATGGAGGCCACGGCCTGAACTTTCTGGCTGAGTGGATGGGTGCAAAGAAATCAGGGGACATGGTGCAATAAAATATGGAATGCATTGATTTTATGGAAGTATTTCATGGGAATTTCTGACCTTTTTCCACAATGTGAAAGGTTTTATAGTCTATATTTTTTTTTCCTGATCTCACTGAGCTCAACCAGCAAATGAATTTCTCTTAACCAGTAGGTGGCGTTGAAGACTTTATACAGGAAAGGGTTTTCCATCTCAGACCACACACACTGTGAACACACTCACTGGTACTGGGGGGTTGGTCTGAAGTGACTGCTTAGCTGAGATATTTGCTGTTTGGGGAAATACCTGCATTGAGATCTGGTGTGCATTTTCCTGATATAGCTGTTTATGAGTCATTCTTGAAGAACACTCGATGCATTTTTTTCTCATTTGGGTGACACAATCATCTTTTATTTTATGTATTCTGTCTATTTAACCACTATTAAAACTATGCTTGGGTATTAAACCTCCCATTATGTTATGTATTTAATGCTCCAAACCATACATACATACATACATACATATGTGTGTGTGTATGTGAATTACCTGAGAGGACCAAAAACACTGCAGTTGCAGCCAGTGCTTGGTATAACTGAGCCACTAAAATTCCCATTGTGTTGGCCAAGAGGTGGTTGGGGGGGGGTTGACCGTGTGAAACAGTGCCTATGTGCTGCAGAGCTCTGACAGAATGGAACATGTCTACACGGTGCCAGAGGCAGCAGGCTTCATGCTTAGTCATCTCGATGGTTTCTGCATACAGGGTATACGTTCTCCTACTTGCAGCACACACCCCGGGGACAGGTCTTGAGTTGAGTCAGTGTCACAGATATGGTCAGCCGTTTATTGCTGCATTTGTGAGATCCGTATGACTCTTCCTCTGACTAAAGTGCAAAATCACCTTTAGAAATCCCGCCGCCGCAGATGATTAAAATGAGCTGAAAACATCAGCTACTTATATTTACAAGCATCACCGTGCAGGGTTTGTGTTAATCTGTTGCACAATGCCAGTGTCGGAAGAAGAACTCAGATCAGTAATTTATTGAGCTATAAATGCACCGAGTGATAAACTCAAAGAGTATTAGCCGCTGGCAAGAAATGCTTCCGGATGTGTAAATAAGGCGTCTGTTTGCTGATCAGATTGAAATGGGGTTTGTCTTTGTTGTATCCATGTCCCTCAAGTAGTCATGAATCATCACTTTATCACGTTGGGGGGGATTTGTGCGCCCTAGAGCAGAAGCTCAAGGGACCAGTTTACCCTGTCCAGGATGTGGTTGCTAGAGTCCCACCCTGGAGCCAGGCCTGGGGTAGGGGTTTGACGTCTTGTGGATTGGGCTTCTCTGCTGTGACTGCTGACCCCATAAACAAAATGGATTTATAATCTTGTGATAAATATAAAATGCAGTCATATGATGAAGATCTCAGTTCTGTAGCTCCTCCTGCAGAACCTATTTAACTATTATGTGCTATTATTAACTATTAGCATATTAAATTGGCAGTTTAATCTATAAAATCAGAATGACATTTCATTTGTTGCCATTCAGATTGGCAAACCTAAGCTGCCAGTAACTTACAAGAAGACGAAGAAGAAGAAAAAAGACAGCACATTTCTTTCTAAACTGGAAAACCTCAACATTGTGTTAATTTACTGCAACCGTACCACAGCCTTATAATAGTGTGTTGAGTAAAAGTCACATTTGGTATGTACATCCGTTTTGTTTCTCCATTTCCAGAGAACGGCTTCTTCCCTTTTGTGTTTAGGGTTTTGATTAATTATTCATGTTGTAAGACCATGTGCAAAGCGCATGTTGGATGAGCACCTGTCCGCCCCCGCATTGACTTTGACCACATCACAGGTGCTAAAGAGTGCAACAGCATGACGCATCCAGGGCACCTTTGGGCTGTAAAGTCTGAACGACCGGACGTCTTTCTTTTTTTTTTTTCAAGCAGAAATGCGTGAGGTCTTTGGCTTTATTGTTTGCTTGAGCTTAGATCCCTGCATGCATTTACTCATACTTTTATGGCCGATCATAATCTCTGCAATTAAGTTTTTAGCCATTTATTTTGGTCAGGTGTTACCCAGGCAGCCAAGGCCATCTCATGCTGGCATATAGTTTCTGAAGGAATGACGGTGCTTGTTACCCAGTGCCATTAGGCACGTAGGCCAGAGCAGAAGGCACGATACTCCTCTGGGGTGTTCAGTGTTTCTTTTGGAGAATATATCGAAGTTCATTAATGCTTTTAAGTCATTGTTGATGTGTGTTTACCAGTTACTAGGTGAGCACACTACTGTGATGTGTGGAATTTGGCTATTTGAGAAGCACTCTTAAATTTTCCCTTTTTTGTGTGTGTGTGGAAGATTTCACAGGCTTAGATAAATGCATGTGACTGCTTAAGATAAGATAAGATAAGATAAGATAGAACTTTATTAATCCCTCGGGTGGGTTCCTCTGGGAAATTCGATTTCCAAAAAAGCACAGCACCGACAGAAGTTACAGAGTTATACACACACACATATATATAAATACAGAGACAATATAAATAAAATATACGAAGGGCTTTGATATGTGTTCATATATGCTTTTTAAAGCAAGCGCGCAAACAAATCTCACAGCCTTTCTTTTGTTCGATCGCCACTTCACGTCACTTATCAAAGAACGCCGCTCATGCTTTTCTGCCAAGAAAGGTCAGAGAGATCGGCGAGGAAGCAGTTAAGCTGAACTGTGAACTGGTGGGCAAACTCTAATAGACACAAAAGCTGCAATTCCTTTTTTTACTTGCCTTTTTAGCCACGTTACCAACACATCTATGTCTGTCTGTCCAATATTTTGATCAAAACCGAAACTGAATTGCACAAAAGTTTCGTCTCATTTAGTGAACTGCAAACCTGGCAATCCCATAGCTTCAGCTTTAGTTTGTTGTGTTGCCAGATTATCAGTCTGTGGGGTCATTTAGAATCAGCAACTCTTAAAATACTTAAATACACAATTATTTTGATATGTCATTATTGGTTTTTCATGCTAGATGGCTGATTTAGACCCTGCCTGATTATTTATTGCACCCCCTACTAATGACTCGATCATATCCCTGACATATATATATACATATCATTAACCAGTGAACAGAAACATACTAGCACTAAGCATTCTAAACTGGGGTGGCACAAAAGTGGACATAATATTTGATTGCTCGTACCCCCACCCCCAACACACACACACACACACACACACACACACACACACACACACACACACACACACACACACACACACACACACTTTTATTTTTCTGTTTCCCTTTTATTATATACTTCCAAATGACAAGAACAGTCACCTCAAGATGCTTTATGTTGTAAGGTAAACCCCACAAAATAATACATTTAAAACCCCAACAATCAAATAACACTCTTTTATCAATCACTTGGAGACAGTGGGAAGGAAAAACTTCCTTTTAACAGGAAGAAGCCTACAGCACAGGCAGCCTCAGGAAGGGATGACAATCTGCTGCAACTGGTTGGGGGTGGTAGATCTTAAATGTTCAATTTGGGAACCCAAAATTGTTTGATGTGAATACAACAAGGAGGTCTTGTTCCACCGTTTCTGTAAAAACCAACTCGCTATCTGAAAAAGTATTCCCCCACCCACCCTTGACCCCAACAGTCACACAGTCACACATGGTGGTTGTGTGGTGGGCTGGAGCTGCTTTGCTCCTTCAGGACCAACGTTGGTCAAGTTGCTTGAAAAAAGTAATCAGTAACTAATTACTGATTACTTCTCAGAAAAAGTAATTCATGTTACACAACCTGAATAGGTAATAAAGCAATAGATCTTAAGCCCAATTCTACTTTTTCTGCATAATCCATCATATAAAATGTAATCAAATGAAAAAGTCTCTTTTAAAAAACTTGTTTTATTAGTTTTAACCTTTTAACTTTATGCACATTGCATCAAGGCATAAATTATATGCAACATCATTTAATTATGCACACGTCTGTTAAAACAAAGGTTGCACGTGCTTACGTCATTGTCATGAGACACTCTTGCAAACAAAATCACGGTTTAGTAACGCACTAACGCAGCGTGCTTATGGAAAAGTAACAGTAATCTAATTACTTTTTTTGCAATAGTAATCTCTTACTTGTTACTTGAAAACAGTAATCAGATTACAGTAACGCGTTACTTGTAACACATTACTGTCCATCTCTGTTCAGGACCTGGGTGACTTGATTGATGGAACCATGAAGAAAACCAGAAAATCCTTAAATCTGAAAGTCCATCCATTTGTGCCCAGAAGCACAAGTTCACTTGGGTTATGCAGAAGGACGATGATCCAAAACACACCAGCTAGTCCACCACCTCTTAACCCAAAAATGAAGGTTTTGGAGTGGCCTAGTCAAAGTCCTGACTTAAATCTGATTGAAATGCTTTTGCATGACCTTAAACAAGCCATTCACACTAGAAAACCCTCCAATACGACTGAATTAAATCATTCTACAATAAAAAAAAAGTAGCCTAGTTGACTTGATAACTTGACAGTTAACATAAACACTTCTTTGTAATTGTTGATGCCAAGAGTGGGACAACCAGTTAAGTTTAGTGGGAAATGATTTTTTTCCCCACATAGGTTCTAGTAGGCTAGTTAGTTAACTTCCTTTTACGTTATCTTAGTTTTTGTGCTTAGAGTCACCAAGGGTGAGTTTGAAGCATAATATTTTGTCTGAGACCTTTTTGATATGTTGGTGGCAGCTCTTACTTTGAAGGGGAATCCTCTCCATTTCATTGTTGCTCAGTCAGTAGATGGCAAGCACTCAGTTGGAGTCTTACATGCCAATTAACAGTTACTGTGGCAGTCTGATTTTGACTGAAGCAATCACAGGGAGCTTATTTGGCTCGACACCCTCTTTGTGAATCTTTCAGCCAGCTGCTCCAGTCGAGAATACACATTTTTTCCTCCTGATTAAAGGTTGCCACTAGGCCACGTGACTGAGACCTAGTGAGCCTTTTTGTAGTTATATTTTAGTTTATTACAATGAGTATGGTCAGCTTAAAATAAATACAAAAAATGCATTAGTCAAGTTAGTTTCAGTTGAGCCATGGCCATCTCACAGACTAGTTTTAACCTGTAAGTCACACACCCTTAGATGTTTTTTGTTTTTTTAACTGTGTTTTCTAGTAATCACACAATTTGAATGCTGATTACCCATTTACCCTGACATTTTAACTTGTAAGAGTAAATGGATGCAACAGGTTCACCTCTCACCAAATTTGTGACTGCATTATTTACTGAGGCTTGTTTTCGCAGCTGTGCTGGAGCTGTTTTCATTCAGAATTTACATGTTTCACCATCTGGTTATATTTTTACAGCCTTAAAAAAGGAACCAATTCATGCACCATCTCTTTGCACTTCTTCTTTTTTTGGTCCACAACAGATTGTGAATAGCGGTTGGTTTAAATTGCAGGAATACGCCCC